CTCCCCCCCTTCCCCTGATTCTCCCAAACCACAGGTATACTACCGCCAACTGCCAGACCCTACTTGGAAGGGCCCTGCTGGTCTCTTCACCTGGGGTCGAGGCTACGCAGCAGTCCAACTTCCTGACAGAACTCTCTGGGTTCCTGCAAGGTGTGTCCGCCCATATCACCGTCCACAACCAGCGGAGCCATCATCCGAAAAAGATGATAACACTCTTCTTCTTCCTGCTTGGCTGTTCGCTTCGCTGGACTGATGGAACATCCACCAGCTTTAACGCCCATAGGCCATACAACATCACATGGATCATCAAGGACGCATATGGACAGGTATTGAATTCAACACACAATTATGCCAAAATTGACACTTATTTCCCACACTTACAATTTGACTTCGCTGAAATGATCGTGGGCAGAACAGCATATACAAAAAAAGGACGGGGGACTCCACAACCAAGCCCAGAAGTAGTGAAAAAATTCCGCCTTTATGTCTGCCCAGGTCACGACATTTCTCCAAACCATCAACACACTTGTGGTGACCTATCGGACTACTTTTGCAAATCCTGGAGCTGTGTGTCCACTGGTCACATCTGGTGGAGCCCTCCCTACAAAAATGACTTAATCACCCTTTCTCGTTCAAGGGAGCAAATGCCTTGCGCTAGGGAAGGGGGACCACCAGGTGCCCGTTGCAACATGGTCACTGTGAGATTCACTGCAAAAGGGAAAGCATCTACATTATGGGACACTGGAGTAAAGTGGGGAGGAAGAGTGTATGACACCGCGGGGTATGATTCTGGCAACATTTTTTACATACAACGACAAGTACACATACCCTCCTCTGGTCCTGTGGGACCAAGTGCCAAGGAAATTAAATCTTCCTTTCTACAACCTTTGCCAACAAGTTAATCCCTTGCTGCCACTTCTTCAATCTTCTTACAGTGTCCTGAATGCTTCCAACACTCTCATATCTAAGCATTGTTGGTTATGTTTGTCTCCCACTCCGCCATTTTATGAAGCAGTAGGATCCTCACAGGCCATAAGAAATGACACCTCGGACTCCCAATGTAGATGGCACGATAGTACCACCATCACTATCACTTCCATAATAGGCCAAGGCTGCTGTTTGGGCCACATACCTAAGAATTACTCGCAATTTTGTTTAAATGCCACCACGGGACAGTACTTATGTGATATGTACATACCTGCTCACCGACTCGACCTTAATATAGGGGATTGGACCCAGGTATTTACCACCGCAGGAGGCAATATAAACAAACGCCTCCAGGGTCAATATTTCATTCCTGGAGATGCTTCAATGTGGGCATGTTCCACGGGACTGACAGCCTGTGCCAGCGGGGATACTTTAATCAAGCAGAATTCCTTTTGTATTCAGGTACAATTGATTCCAAAAATGAATGTATATGACTCAGAAGATTTTGTTTCTCTACTAGAACCTAGACAATATAACCTTAGGGCAAAAAGAGAAGTAGTAACCGCTTTGACACTAGCTGTTCTGCTGGGGTTGGGGGCTTCTGGGGCGGCCACAGGTATAGCTGGCCTTGTTACCTCTGATCAGCATTTTCGCCACTTAAGCGCCACCATAGATGCAGACTTACGCCGCATTGAACAATCTATAGTTGCTTTACAGAACTCCCTCACCTCCTTATCTGAAGTTGTCTTACAGAATAGAAGAGGTTTAGATTTGTTGTTCCTCAAGCAGGGTGGGTTATGTGCAGCACTGAAAGAAGAATGTTGTTTTTATGCAGATAGTTCAGGAGTGGTTTTAGATTCTATGAAAGAGTTAGATAAGAGACTAAAAGAAAGGCAAAGAGAACGAGAGGCTCAACACACATGGTATCAGGGTCTGTTCAACTTCTCCCCATGGTTAACCACCTTAGTATCTGCCATTGCTGGTCCTCTTATTCTCCTACTTGTGCTCTGTACCATTGGCCCTTGTATTTTGGGCAAAGTTTTGGCCTTCTTAAAACGCAGATTAAGCCAGTTGGATTCCAACCTGTCACGAACTCAGAAACAGGTAAATACTCTCATATCCCATACACAAGAAAAGCGAGCTCTGTTAACATTCTCCTCGGATTCAGACGAAGATGAAATCATCAAAAGTGCTGGTAAGGACAAAACATGCATCCTAATGCACTTGCAAGCCTCAGACTCGGAGGAGGAGGGGGCAAGCAAGAATCACCATTAGGGCAGTGTTAATATATCACCTTCCAAATAAAATAAAGACAGAGGAGATGTTGCAATGTACAACAATAAATGGACGCTTAATGTTGCAATGGTCAACCTTGTAAAAGTGCTGGATGGACAGTCTAATGTTGCTACATGGTAAAGTGCTGACTGTGTGGAAAAAAGTTATATGGGAAAAGAAAGTAATTGGGCAGGGCTAAGAGTGGAGGTGATAAGACCCCAGCAATGGTATAGTTTTTGCATTAGCATAATTATGTAGATTACCTTATAAGGAAAATTTCCTTGTTCCTGCTATGACGCTTGCAAGCAACCTAATAAAAGGAGGTACCTGCCTTTGTTCAAGTGCCTTCATCCCGAGTAAACATTGTGTCCGTGTGTTTATTTATTTACCATGAGAGGCCCAGGGCTCTGAACTCAGACCCTGCCGTCGCCAGGGTGCGGGCAGCAAAAAGCCACAAAAACTAATACAATATTTATCTAGGCTCTAACTACACTTGAAATTATAAATTAATTACAAGCATCCTGTTTGTTTTAATAGATGAAATGAAAATAAATTACAGAAACTTCACTGTTAAATACCATATCATTTTAAATACCTTAAGAATTTAATAACCACTGTAAGGAAGTTAAGTTGTATTAAGCAATTATGCTTGGGCAAATCAAAGATTTGCATTCTTGGTATGTAATTTAATAATGTAATAGTAATAATAGTAATGTACAATAATAATAGTAATGTAAAACAAACATGTAAATTCTGAATAAAACATGTTTCTTTAGGAAAGGCTTGTTTTAGAAAGCAAGTATATAAAATGTTTTATATTTGAATATATTATAAATACAAAATACTATGTTAAGCAATAAAACCAACCATGTTATATACCAGCGCTGGCTAACCTTTTTGGGCTCCTGTGCCAGAAATTGTATGCACGCTTGCACATGCGCACTTGCATACCAGCAGCCACAAGACAATGTGTGTGGCCCCCCCTGGGCATGCATGCACAACAACCCCCTTACCTGCACCACGCCTCACAGCTGATTTTCGGCCGGTTTGAGGCCTTTTTCGGCCTCCCAGAGGCTTGAAAAAAGACTCTGCAGGCTTTGCAGGACAAATAATAGGCCCATTTTGTCACTTCCGGTATAACAGGAAGTGATGAAACAGGCCTATTATTTGGCCTGCAAAGCCTGCAGAGGCTTTTTTCAAGCCTCTGGGAGACTGAAAAAGATCTCAAACCAGTCAAAAAATCAGCTGTGAGATGCATGCATGCATGCGCAGTGAAGTAAGTTTGCCTGCAGCTCCTGTGCTGGCACAAATGGCACAAACCTGTGGCATGCGTACCATAGGTTCACCATCACGGTTATATACTAACTCAGCTAATAAAGGGTGAGCCCATCACTTAATTTCAGATGCATTCCTAGACAGCCAAAAACAGTGTGAATATAACATAAAAATAATGAGAAATAACACTTTGGCACTTGAAATTCTGAGACTTCTATTGTTTTTCATACTGCAGTCAACTGTAGCCTTTTGGGAAGAATTTCAGTTTCAGATATTACCAGTGTGTGGGTATAGTCAATTTGTGGAAATCACTGATATTCTTCCCAGGCAAAATACCCTTCTGAATCTTGACGTCATACAGCAGCCCCAGCATGACTTCTCTAAGGCTGTACAAGGTCTTCAAGCACCAGATTATTTTAATAAACTCTTCTGACTAGATATATATTTATAATTTTTTCCCATTTTCATTTGAAACAGAGTTTATGTCAAGGACAAGATCTTGTCAGTAGTGAAATCACAGACATATGTTCTTTGTGATGAAAGACAAGCTGCTACTCTCTGGTTTTAGAACATTAGCTTACATGTTTCTATTCTGTGTTTAAACTGTACACACACATCAGTTTTTTTATGCTGTCTCCAAACGTATTACTTTTTTCCTACACTGATAGTTCATAATGTGGGAGTTGCCAATCTTTAAGAGTCACAGGGCTCACATTTACTTTTAAAATATTTTTGGGAAGGAACTGAAGACCATTGGAAATATAGTTGATAGTATATTGTCACTATAGTGAGTGAAGGCCAAATAGGGAATACATTTTGTTGGAACTGGTTAAGTTTTAAAGAAGAATATGAGTGCCTTAAGCATGAGACACCCACTTTGACTCTTTTATTTCTTCAAATCCTATGAAAAATGGATCTGATCTGATTAATCCTGCTTCTCCTAATCTGTTTCTTGGAAGAGTTTTGTTGTCATCTCTTATTCACTTTGACTCTCTTTCTACTCTCCCCACCCAGAGGTGATATTCAGCAGGTTCTGACCAGTTCTGGAGAACTGGTAGTGGAAATTTTGAGTAGTTCGGAGAACCAGCAAATACCACCTCTGACTGGAGTTTTTACAGTATCCTTCCCCTGCCACACCCAACAAGCCACGCCCATAGAACTGGTAGTAAAAAAAAAATGAATATCACTACTGCCCCCACCCCAGAAAACTAAGCATCCAAACAACTTTAAAACCTACCTACTATCTGTCATTCTGGTTTTCAGCACACTAGCACCTCATAACTGAGGTAATGAAAATCTTTTTAAATAAAAAGCAGAAGAGACTGTGTGAAAAATTCGTACAAGGTATCTACTTGTGTCATGTTGAAGACCATTTGTATTTCAATTTCACTGAAATAGACCCCAAAAATTGGAAGTCAATCTCATAAAAAGAAACAAATACTATACTAAAACTCCTAAAAATATGGGTTGTGGGCATTCTACATAAACCAGTATGGAAAAAAATAAATGGTTAGATACAAAGCGGCAATACAATATAAAACGATGAAATTTATTATTTGCAATTATACGTTAGCCAGGGTGGCAAATAACCATATAATGTAACTAATTCTAAAGTACATGTGAAATCAAAATTGCTTGAAAGATACTTCTAAGAAATGACATATCGGAGCACTGAAGTATTTCAATTAAGTGAAAGAAAAATAACTTGAAATAGAAAATAATTCAAAAGATGGAACACAACAAGGATGATGTTGGATGGCTTCACAAAACCATCAGTTTCTGAGCATTAGAGCCACTAATAAATATTGTCCAGTAATCCACAATGTTTGGGGATAAATGTTACGGAGAACTTCTCTTAGCGATACAGTTTATAGCGATTATATCGCTTGTACAAGAATTTAATCCTCTTATTCAGATTATGGTAATCGTCAACAAACATTCGGTCACCCACCATCTTCTTTCTGCGAATGCATCTCTGCAGCTCATTTCCCCTCCATCCACGTAGCCATACCGGCCCCACAATCAGGTTTTTGGGGTGGGCCTTGAAATCCCCTAAGAAGAAGAACACAATAGATATATTTTAGAATTCTATTACTTCAATTTTGAAAAAGGAAGTTTCTTCAGTAATTGCCCCCCCTTTTTTTAATCATAGAGTACTACCAACTTCAATTCAAAAGACATTCCCTTTCTAAATAAAGTAGCCATCTGAATGTTAAGCAAATAAAAATGTCTTTCTCTTCAATTTTCTTCTCAAAATCAATCACAGAGCTTTTCTCAGATTAGGAACTTCCATGACAATTTCCTTCTGCCAAGATTGGGGGAAAGGGGAGAGAAAAACAGAAAGATCTATTAAACACCTGCCAGAATCACTAAAAAAGTTTGCAGGGAACTTGAGGGATGATAGACTGCATGCATCTCTCCTATACATGCTGCTATTGGAAGACAGGTTGCTGTTAGTGATAATCTACTGTAAAGTAATATTTACCCAGAATTCCAATATTATCATAGACACCAAAGAGTGCTCGTTTCTCATTCCATCTGTCAACCACTTTTGGAGGAGGAGGCTCTTTCACCAGAAATGAGCCAGGGACTTCTAATTTAAACAAAGAAGGGGGAAAAATAGTCAATGTCACTTTAAAGATTGCTTTTGAAAATCTTATTATGACAAATCAGTTGGAGCTTTTATACAGCATATTTACAAACCAATGTTTATGTAAAATATAAAGTTAAATCATTTCTTTTAAAACCTTCTAATGGTACAATATCACTGGACAGCTTTAGAAACTAAATTTACTGGTCCTTAAACCACTAGTTACTGTATTTACAAAGAATATCTAGTCAACCATCATAAATGTAGTACAGGTAGTCCTCAGTTTATGACCAGAATTGGGGCAGAACTTCTGGCTCTAAGTGAGGCAGTTGTTAAGTGAGTCTCACCCATTTTCATGATATTTTGATTCTAGTTATTAAGTGAATAACACTGTTCTAATTAAATCTGGCTTTCCCCATTGGAACTTGGCTGGAAAAGTTGCAAGTGGTAATCATGTGACTCTGGAAGACAACAACCATCATAAATACACACTGGTGGACAAGTGTCTGAATTTTCACATGTGACCACGCTGCAACAATCCTAAGTGCAAGAACTAGCTGTAAAACACATTTTTGTCAGTGTAACTGTAAACGTGAATGGTCATAAGTTGAAGACTACCTGTACTTCAAGATTAGTTACAAAGAAGACTGCAACTAAACAACCTCTGGATCAAGTGGCCAAGCACAATACTGTACAAGGTAACAGTTTATGAACTAAAGGCAGTCCTATTCAGAACTCCTATATTAACTGAAGCTGGAAATAAGGACTGTTAGCCACATGGGTCACTTGAATTTCAGTGTCAATGATTATTTTAAGTGCAACCTTAACGTTCATTCGTGAGTGTGTGTGTGTGCGCGCGCCTGAAGGAATTCAATATTTAGAACAGACTGCAATACCTGTAATGTATGAAATCCCACCCAACCACCCTAAAAGCTCCCCTTCTACCTTGTCCCCTTCTCGCTGCCTCTGAAAAAGAAGGGGAAGGCGTTATAATTAATGCATGCTCGAGATAGTAAACCAGGGGTCCCCAAACTTGGCAACTTTAAGACTTGTGGACTTCAACTCCCAGCATAGCTGGCTGGAGAATTCTGGGAGTTGAAGTCCACAAGTCTTAAAGTTGCCAAGTTTGGAGACCTCTGTAGACAAAAAGAACCGGGGGCCGAGGTTTATCGCGCCAGTCGAAGCGCCAAGGCAGGGTTCAGGACGCTACGTCGCCCACACGACAGCCACCGGGTCCTTCCACCCACTTGTACTGAACAGCCGACGAGCTGTAGAGACGAGAAGGCTGCTGCTGCTGCTCGTCCATAAGCGCGGCGGGGTCGTTATCAGCCGCCACGCCGCTTCCATTGAACTTCGGCCTGACTCTTCGGCTAAGAGAGGGCAACGCAAAGGCTCCACGCAAGGCAGCCACTTCAGAAGCTTCCCAGAACACCCCGCGCCTCGCAGCTTTCGATCCGCAGGCGGAGAGGAAGGAGGAAAATCACAACCATAGAGATAAAAACAATGGAAGTTAGACGTGTCGATCAGGTCCTCAAGACAAGAATGGCTGCCTTGCATTTTTGTACACCGTTTTATTAAATACATCATTGTAGCCGATTCTTTTTTTATTCATTCCCCTCTTTTCCTTCTCCCCCAACAGCAGTTAGTTTCTCAGGGTTTTGCTCCACGGATAGGGGCTGCATCAATAAATCAGTGATTTTTAAACTTGGGAACTTTAAACAGAGAGACTCTGCTCTTCATGGCTGGCTAGGGAATTCTGGGAGTTGAAATGTACGCGTCTTGAAGTTCCCAAATTTTAAAAATACTGAACTAAATCTTCCATGTGAAACAAGATTCTTCACTGTTCTAATTAAAGTGATTACCCGGTTCAAGCTGGAATAATTTATTATTTCATCCAAGGCAGACATTGAGCACTGCCTGCAGAGATCCATGAAGAAAAATAAGGAGCTAAGTGTAATTATGTTCGTTCACTTAGAAGGAAAAGTTTATCTACCATGGAAGTTACCATGCTATAAAGTTTACTTTTAAAATGTATATAGATGTTTCACCCATTCAAATGCAACTGACCATTTCATGCACTGAGAATACAACTACTTGCCATTTGGAAATTCCATTCCCAGCAATTGCAGAGTTTATTTATTTATTTATTTATTTATTTGATTTGCCAATTGTTTACAAGATAATAAGCATAAGTGTATACATAGTTGTGAATACATGAAATGGGTACATATAAGAAAAATAAAAGAAGAATAAGAGAAACAATAGGGCAGGGACGGTAGGCACGTTGGTGCGCTTATGCACGCCCCCTACAGACCTCTTAGGAAAGGGGTGAGGTCAATAGTAAACAGTCTAAGGTTAAAGTTTTTGGGGTTTGGGGAAGAAACTACAGAGTCGGGTAGAGTATTCCAGACATTGACCACTCTATTGCTGAAGTCATATTTCCTGCAATCAAGTTTGGTGCGGTTAACATTGAGTTTGTATCTATTGTGTGCTCTTGTGTTGTTATGGTTGAAGCTGAAGTATTCATTGACAGGTAGGACATTGCAATGTATGATTTTATATACCATGCTTAAATCAGACCGAAGACGGTGTAATTCAAGGTTTTCTAGTTCTAGAATTTCAAGTCTGGTGGCATAAGGTATTCTACAACGAGTGGAGGAGTGGAGAACTCTTCTTGTGAAATATTTCTGGACTTTCTCAATTGTGCTAATATCAGATATGTAATGTGGGTTCCAGACTGATGAACTGTATTCGAGTATTGGTCTAGCAAATGTTTTGTATGCTCTGGTTAGTAGTGTGATATTACCAGAGAAAAAGCTACGTAGGATTAGGTTAACAACTCTTAATGCCTTTTTGGCTATGTAGTTGCAGTGTGCTCTAGCACTTAGATCATTAGAGGTGAGTATTCCAAGGTCCTTTACAGAGCTTGGGTCATCAACAAGATCTTGACTATTCAGCTTGTATTTTATTTTCTGATTTTTTTTGCCAATATGTAAGACAGAGCATTTATTTGTTGAGATTTGAAGTTGCCATTTGTTTGACCATTCTGATACATAGTTGAGATCTTTTTGTAGGGTAGCAGTATTGTCTGTGGTATTGAACAGCTTTACATCATCAGCGAAAAGAACGCAATTGCTCTTAATATGATCACAGAGGTCATTTATGTAGAGTATGAAGAGAGTTGGTCCTAGAACACTGCCTTGGGGGACACCACTATTGACAGGTACAGAGTTTGATAGGACGCTCCCAATTTTGACCATTTGTTGTCTGTTTGCCAGGAATGCTTCTATCCAGTTATTCAGTTGTCCAGAGATACCATAGGATTTTATTTTTAGGAGTAGTTTGTCGTGTACTACTGAATCAAAGGCTTTACAGAAGTCTATGTAGATTGCGTCTATTGCTTTGCCCTGGTCGAGTTGTGTCGTCCATATGTTTTTGCAGTGTAAGAGTTGTACTGTACTAGTTGAAGTAATTGACAAGCTTATCTCGAACTACTGTGACTTCCAGCGTCATCACTTACCTTAAGAAATAAATGACATTGTATCTATTGAGAGCATTTAAAATTATTTCGGTAGCGGTTTTGTCAAGTTACAAAGCAAATGAAGCACTTAAGCACTTTATTTCAGACAATATCTTGATATTGTTTTTTAAGATGGGAGCTTTCACTTTGTACCCAAAGAAATAAAAATAAAAATACAATGTACTGTAAAAAAATTCGGTCTTCAGTACAAATGTAACTCTACACTTTTTCATAGCTCTTCGCCTTCTGAAGCGCGCCTGTCCTTGCTGGACTTGATTGCGGACCACGAGAGAACGATCGACCTTTAAAGCGATTGGCTGCCGAGCTTTCAAAGAACAACCTGGTTGGGCGGGAGGACATTATTCGAATTTCTGGCGCGTCATTTTTCCTTCCCCTATTGGTCTGCAAGTGCGCGCGAGTGTTGCAGGCCAAGTTTGATTTGCACCCTCCCCCCTCGGTTCTGCCGCCGAACCGACCCCACCAGAGGTTGGGCCCGCCGGTCCTGCGTTCCAAAATCTAAGATGCTCTGAATTCTACCCGGCGCCGAGCTTCGGAGTGCGGGCGTTTGAGGCTCGATCTGCCTCCCATCAGGCTACGGATCGGGAGGGGGATGATGGCTGATCCGACTTCGCTTTCGCCTCCCTCGTGGGAGTTCCACTTGCCTCTGTCTCCGACCGACTTGCTTCGCAGCGCGGGGTCTCTGCAGTACGTGGTGCAGGAAGTGCTGCCCCTCAGACAGCTCCCGGGACAGCTGGCAGGTTGGTGGGGGAAGCGGGAAGCGGGAATGGTCCCCTGGAGATTCCTCGTGTTGGTGTGCAAGTCCGGGAAATGGGAAGGAGGAAGACGAGTAATTAATGTGAGTCGTGCCTTCCCATCAAAGCAGCGCCCGAGGCAGCCCTGATTAAATAGTGAATTCTAGGCGGTGCTATTGGGTATCCCGAAGTAATTAAGTAGGAGGTATAATTATTTCAGACATCCAGTACCAGCTATTTAGATGGTGGTGCAGTTAATGGTTATAATTCAGGGGTCTTCAAATTTGACAGCTTTTAGACTTGTGGACTTCAACTCCCAGAATTCCTCCTCCAGTCATGTTAGCTCGGGAATTCTGGGAGTTGAAGTCCACAAGTCTTAAACTTGCCAAGTTTGAAGACCCTTGGGTTACATAATAAATAGCACACTTTTAGGATGTTTTTTTTTAACCTTTTTTGAAATTATGTAACAGCATTTTATTACTCTGGTTATGTAGTGCATTTGTAATCTGCTTCAGAATGTATGGGAACTAAGCATAACAAAACAGTTCCACAAGACATGCTTTCCAGAAAATTGAAAAGACCGTAATCTCGTCAAGCTCCTCAAAGATATAAGCTAAGGTTTAATAATTGTCAAAAGCATGCAATGATGAAGCAGGTTTTTTTAAGTTGTTATGATTTATATTTCTTTTAATGTAACTGCATACACCGCAGCAGTGTATAAACTGATTAAGCAGCAGTTCTAGTAAATTTTTCTAAGTGAGAATTAGGCATACAAGATCTGGATTAATAAAATCATGGTTCACTAATTGCAATTTGATGTCTAAATTCAAGAATTCTGAGTACCAAAAGTTTATCTGAAAATAGTTTCAAAGCTATCTTCTGCTAATTGATCTGGAGTTGGCATTTCTCACACATGGTCTTTCTTTTTGCAGTATTTCAGACAACATTCTGTACACAAGGAGCACTTGCTATCCTGCAGCATTTTGATACCCTTTTCAGTATTCTACAGTGAGTCTGCACGTTACTACTGGTATTGTTAGAGGGAGCTTTAATCTGAGGATTGAGAGTACATCATAAGAAGCCTTGTTCATAACTGTGGTAACAGCACTAAAAGAAGTAAACATGTAAAAAAAACAGAAAATGACTGGAGAATGCTTTGTGTCTTAATTAGTCATTTTGCTAAAGAAGCCATTTAATTTCCTGTACCCACATTGTTAAATGGCAGAGAGAAGGGGTTGAGACTGAAAATAATTATGTTTGATGTAAACAATTTGTAGCTGAGCTTTGGACATTGTATATGTGTTATAGGAAATTTCTTAAATGTTCCCAGAAGTTCTATTTCCAAAATTAATACAAGCTGAACAATGTACAATGATAACTTTAGATGAATAAGAATACATGGGATGCTTTGAAAAAAATGTTTGTGTTTTAACTTAATATTCATGCTTTGCAGCTACTTCAGGACTGTAGATAAGGCTGTTAAGGAAGATGCCCTAGAACTGATGGTGAAAGGTGAATACGTTCTCTTAATACTATAGAAAATACAAGTTCTTTATTGCAGCTAAATGATGATAACAAGGCAAATGTGACCTCATTGGCAGGTTGTTCCCTCAGCCTGTTCCTTTCATAATGATCTGTAATCTTGGTGGTCAAGGCAGAGTAATGTGTGTTCACTGTAAGGGCAGACCAACAGGACATCCCATTCCTTCTGTCTTCCATCTTTTTGGAATGAGAGATCCATCATTTGCATAGTATTGCAGGAGGTGGTCAGAGGGGTGGATACAGGATAAGCATAGTGTGCCTGGGTAATGGGTTGCTGGGTGCTCCAGAGTTATGCTGATAGGATACTATGAGCACAAGTCTTTGGTAATCTGAAAGCTGTCCTGAAATCACATTTAGAACAAATATCTATTGAGAGCCTGTCTGAAGATGGTACCTTCTCACTTCTCCTTTTAGTTGTGACTAGTCACTCCAATGCCCTGACAACCATCCTGAATGATTCAGACCTCAGATCTTCTCTTCGGGTTCTCCATCTTAATGCTCTAAAGATGAATTGCTATATACTAGTACGGCTAGTGGAGGCGTTTGAAACAGAATCTGGCAAGACCAATCTAGTGGGATTGGAATCCAAGGGGAAGGTAGGTGGCTGGTATCTATTTGCTAGATATTTACTTCTGGGCAGCTTTTTCCTCTTTAACCTGTTGCCCTGAAATCTGATTAATTTTAGTTTTCTCTTGAGTTAGAGGATATGCCAGTTAGAGGATATGTTATGTACCATATTGAAATTTATGTGATCTTTTAAAATATAATTTTGTATTCAGAGAGTAAAAGATAATCAAAAGCTTCTTTTTTTCTGCACTCTCTTAGCTCTTTATTAGTTTGTGTTAGTTTTTATGTTCTTAGTAATTCTAATATATAACCTATATTACATTGTGGGAATGGAAGTGTGAAATATTCCATTCTTATTTTGCTATCCCAAATATTGGCAGCTCGTCTATTCAACCTTTGAATAGGCTGTGCCTTACAGGAAGAATCTACAGGCAATCAGTTGAGAAAGTGTAAATATTTAACATAAGCAAATTTGGACACGTCCAGAGCTGAAATCAACAGAGGCAACTAATGTAATTTCTGAACATGACCTTCACGTACATAAGCTTTTGATGCATGTCTTCTCTTGAATTGATGTTCTGGATTTGTTTTGCAGAACAAGAAAAGCCATACTAAAGGCTTTGCTTGGGAGGAAGAAAGGCAGTCAATTATACAACTGCTCACACAATTACTTCAGTTGGATCTTCATCAGCTTTGGAATGGCTTGGTAGTGGAAGAAGAGTTTGTAAGGTATAGAAATGGAATGGAAAGCTTCTTTGGGCTGGAGGAAAGTGAAGGGTCAATCAGATAGGAAGAGAAGAAAATGGTATGATTCATGTGAGCCGGAAAGTAAACGTTGCTTTATTTTTAAGTGCTAAGTACATCTTCATAGGATTGTAAAAGATAAAAGGAGTCCTTGCTCTGCTAGTCGTAGCCAATTTTAGGGGGCAGTGCTCATCTCCGTTTCTAGGCCATTGAGCCAGCACTGTCCAAAGACATACTTGTTTATCTACTTGCATTTACATGCTTTCAAACTGTTAGGTTGGCAGGAGCTCACTCCATCATGCAATAATAGGACTCAAACCGCTGGAGCATAGACCTTCTCTGGAGTCTTTTGAGCCACTGCGCCACTGTGATAAGATTGTAGTACATAAAATATTGCATTGCGATACCCTTTTGCTCTAACTCCTGTTTTGACTTTCTTTTCAGTTTGCTAACTGGCTGTTGCTACCGTATCCTGGAAAATCCCACCATTAGCCACCAGAAGCATCGGCCCACAAGAGACACAGTGATTCACCTACTAGGTGTTGCTCTATCTCGATATGACCATATGCTCAGTAAGTCTATTCCGTTCTTTTAGCTTGGGCAGGCCAAATGCTGAAATAGGTCTAATTTCTGAGCCCTAAATGGCTAATCTGAGCCATCCTAATTTCTCCCGTTACGGAAGAAGGTCTTCTCTTACCACAGTTCTCTTTGACAGGTGCCACTCTGAAAGTCACCCAGATGCTTCAGCACTTTGAACATGTAGCTTCAGTATTTGTGGAGGCTGTAACTGTGTGGATCAAGGACTATGGTATGAAGAGTATTGTGGGGGAGATACTAAGGTGAGAGAGGTTCCTTCTGTCTTCCTTACAATTCTCCGCAGCATCGATCACTGACTGTTCATTCATTGTTCAGGGAAATTGGACAGAAATGCCCCCAAGAACTGGCTCGAGAGGCTTCTGGGACGAAGAGCTATGCTGCCTTCTTGACAGAACTCACTGAACGAACCCCAGCTATTGTTCTGTCCAACATGAGTGTCCTGTTGCATCACCTGGATGGAGAGGTTGTTTCACAGACTGTATTTTCCGTATAGAAAGTATATGAGAATAAAATAAATAACATTCTATTTTTATTGGCTGTGAAGATCTTGAAAAAAGCTTAATGGCTAGCCCAGGTGTCATTCTGAACCATGTTCTAATTCTGCAGAGTTATGGAATGTGTAATGACTGAACCCGGTGCTTTCCTTTTTTTAAAAAAAAACCCTGAATCCTTCACGTGTTTGTTAACTCAAGCTTTTACAACTGATTTTGTCTTTGGGCTCTCTTGTATCTTCAGAACCATCACTTGTCCTCTCTTCCAAGTTGAATAAGCACTCGGATTTCTGCTTTTTCCCTTGTAATCCTGCTTGGCTTCTCAGGTGGATACTTCTACCTGATAACTTGTGAGAAAAAGCCTGAAAGTTTCAATGATATATTTGATTGCAATGTCTTGCTTGCAATGTCGAACTCTAGAACCTGTTTTTGAGTAAACATAACTTAAATCAAGATACAAGTCTACTGAAGTGATGCTGCATGTGGAACAACAGTGGCATTAAAGTCTGCCAGGCCCAGAAGCAATTATTGCAAGTATATATTTGGCTCGCCAAAAGCTCAGCATCGGTAAATTTTTACTTTTCATTGCCTTTTCTCTGTAGCACTTGGCAATTCATTGTCAGTAAGTCCAGTCTAGCAGAGAGCTACTGTTGTGTAAAGAGCTTTGGGCCTGAAATTCTTACATAGATGAATCAATTAAGTCTGTTCCAAATTTAAAGCTTCTTTGGGATTTTGGCTTTCTGAGCATATCGTCTAGTTTGCAAGTTTTGGAAATGGCCAGCCCAGTTGTCATAATCTGAACCATGTTCTAATTCTGCAGAGTTATGGAATGCGTAATGCCATTTTGGCTGCTATGGCAGAGATGCTGTTGCAAGTGCTGAATGGAGAACAACTGGAGGAAGCTGCCAGAAATACAAGGGATCAGTTCTTGGATACTTTGCAGGCGCACACGTGTGATATCAGTAGCTTTGTGCGCAGTCGTGCGCTTCAGCTCTTTACCCGAATTGTGCAACAGAAAGTGAGTTTTGAAGAAAATATCAGGAGCAAACAACCACAGACCCACACTTGTAGAGTTCAAACTAGCTACTTTATTGTTCTCTTCGTATAGTTGTAAGAATCTCCCCAGACTGGTAGCTTTCCCCTGGGAAAGACCAGATAAAGCTATATGACATTCAAAGGTAGAGGGTGGAGCCGGGGAGTGTCAGACCTTGCCTCTTCTATTTACATAGGGAGGCAAGGCTAATTTCTCACTTGTTGGGGGGGGGGGTATTTTTTTTTCTATACTTTTTTTACTGCTTGTAAACTGCCTAGAGTCACTGAGAGCGAGTAGAGGCTGTATAAATTTTCTAAATAAATTATCAATAAATAAGCCCTCCTCCCATTTGGGATAGTTGTTTGCCAACAAATACTTTTTGAACTTCATTAGGGTAACTAAGATGCTACGAACGACTTGCAAATGCAACTGTTTGCCCCCAAGAATACATCATCAGCCTAAAATATAAAGTATACAATGCAGTATCTGAAGAATAAGAGTTAACATTTAAGAACTAGTTAAAATAGTAAAATTTGTAGTGGTGAAAACAACAAGAACTACATATATTCCTGCTCCTGATTATTGCAATGTGCTCTACATGGGGCTACCATTGAAGAATATTTGGAGGCTACAGTTGGTCCAGCAGTGTTGGCACATGTAACATCACTGTTATGCAAGTAAGGTGTACTTTTCAGCCTTCAGTGAGTGTAATCCTGGGATGGAGACCTTTTCATGTTTATGCAAAAGCTCTAGTGGAACAGTTGAGACTTACTTCTGAGTAAACACACCCATTTTCTGGCATCAAGGGGCCTGTTGCAGAATTATTTTTGGAAGTTCCAGCTCCCAGGGAGGATAGCACTGGTTTTGCTCTTCTTACCTGATGTCAGAAACATTCCAAAACACTATTACCTTTTTGTAAATTATAACAATGTGATATTGAAAAGCTTTTTGTAGCTTTCTTGGGACTGCTTGCCTTCCATTTTCTCTGTATCCAGTATGTTCATACTTTGTGAGCAATTCATATAAGGATAACAGGGTAGTTTCACTTGCTACTTGCTACCTAACAGTTATTATCTAGCAGTGAAAATATGTTAAAACTGTTCCTTCCATATTTTTCTCTGGCAAAGCCAATCACGCTGCTAGGGAAAATGAAAGTTTGCACTGTATATCTAAGTCTTCCATATATCTCCAGATGGAAGAAAATATTTAGCACAGCCAATGTCTGAGCAGAGTTGAGAACTTGTTAGGAAGGAATACTGGTACTGCAGAAGAAATACGTCCTTACTATCATGATTGTGTCAGTGTATGAAATAGCTTCTCTTTTTGCTGTAGGCTCTGCCCTTAACTAGATTCCAAGCAGTTGTGTGCCTTGCTGTGGATCGGCTACAGGACAAAGCAGTAACAGTGGTTAAGAATGCTATCCAACTGCTCTCTGCCTTCCTTTCCAACAATCCTTTCTCTTGTAAGGTAAGCTTTATAAATCTATTTCTTGGCAAATGTTTAACTGCAGTATTTTTCATTACTCCTCACCTATTCTGCAAATGGGTTATTGCTCATCTCGTTTGCTTTAAAAAAAAAAAAAAGTATAGCCCAAAATATCTTGAATACAGAAAAGCAGAATGTAGCATAGAACAAAAACAAAACATCAGTAAAAGGGTCATTGCCAGGCACAAGCAACCAGAACCACTTGTGAAAAGCCTCAGGCTGAAACTTTATTGTTTGTCATCTATGTGATAAGAATCTCATCAGACTGCTTGCCTCCCCCTGAGAATAACCAGATAAGGCTTCATAGATTCTGAGGGAAGGTCATGCTTATGGCAGCTCCAAGCCCTTGCTTGACCTCTCCCTCCAGCCTAGCTGGCAATTCCCCCACAGTCATCATGCCATCAATCGAGACATTTTGTTC